CTCTGAAACAGTCTTCGTTTAACACTCCTGCTTCGATTGTAAATAATCTATTCGAAATTGGGATCTTTACGGATCATTACTCCTCCTTAATAATGTTTCAGATCTGCTCTTCAGCCACGGCAACTATTCTGAGCTAAAGTATAATTGACCTATCTTCTAGAATTGTATATTTTTATTTTTAAATCGGTTCGGAATTCGATTGGTTGAACTCCAGACACCTTGGAATTGGGTCTGCAAGGGTTTTTCACATACAGGAAATCCAGGCCGTATATGGCAATCATTTCCTTATATCTACTCTTGATTGATATCTTTACTGCACGATTTAAAAAAAGGACTCTATTGTTTTTCCAGATACGTCAAATCCGAACGGGAGCACTCTCTCCGTCGGGTCGGACAAGAAGCACACGCGATGGCCGTCCTTTACGAATGCTTTTCCAAGTTTCCTCAACGCGGGTGGAAATTCTGCACCACTTTCTACAATGTCACTCTGGCAACAATGGGATTCTGTTATTAACAATTGGGACCAGTACTCTAAAAAGAAATCACAAGTTGCCGTAAGTCTTCTTTTTCTCGCCGGCTTTCAGTTAAATAAACGTTTTTTGCACATTTTCTTTCATGTACGTTATTATTTAAAGGACCTCATCAAACGAGGAATTCCGGATGAGTTCCGTCCTGTAGTATGGCAACTCTATACTGGTGCCCATGACTCGCCGTTAAAGAGTGCTTACCACAAATACTTAAAGGAAACCTCCCCCTTTGAAAGAGCGATTCGTCGAGACGTCTCGAGGACCTACCCGAAACATGACTTCTTCAAGGACAAGGTAAGTCACTCTTATCAAAAGCTACACTTAAGTACCTACGTGCATGTCTGATTTTTATACCAAACAAAACTTCCGGTTTTTAGAAAGACTTTTCTAATGCTGGCTAAAACGTCCACGCTGAAAAACGTTTATATCAGATTGATAATTTTTTCTTCAGTAATTCGACATTTATAACCCTGAGGGCATGTTTGCTAAGCGTACCATGTAGGAAGCATAGATTGTCCTCCGGTCATAGAAGTTAGGTAGGGTTAGTACTGGAGCGGCGGGAAAACTGGGCATTCATGGAATTTTACCTGACTGCTAGCAGAATTCATCTCTCCCGCTTTGCCTTGGGTCTCGAGAGAGGCCCTGACAGCCGTAACAGCTGGAAGTAGGCAGATAGTATTGTCGGCAAAGACAAGGGAGACTGGAATGGCCATTTCCGGCACATTAGCCGTCGTCAGCCAGTCATATCCAGACTCAAGTGATATCCTTCCCAATGGTCAGGGCGTTTGACTCTGATACAGAAAAGAGGCACATCCAAAAGCTAGCATACTGACATGACTGAAGTATGTTGTGGATTATATTGCATCCTATTCGAATATTAAAAGCCTACTCGCGTATTCATTTCTGCTCCACCGAAACACATTCTAAAATATCTTTTAACGTTTCGTGCGATGGTACATCTACTGTACATGAGAACATGCATAAATAACAGCTTCTCTTGGCAAACACAGAATATGTATAACTTTGCTGACAATAATTGCGGCTCCTTTCGCTATCCGCCTGAGGCAGTGAAGTTTTTACTCCATCCGCCGCCGCTGTTGTTGTCGTGTGGAAAATGTCAGACTTCCCTGTAAGACTTTCAGCCTAACAATGCTTTAGCGAAGGAGCGCGCAAAATAACCCATTACAGAAGTCAGTTGTTGTTGACAGTAAACTGCACCACTTTTCGCTGATTTCAAGTCTGGAAATCTCACACAGATTTTATGTTGACTTCTTGTCATGCTTCTCCCAAATAGATTTTCTTCATCCCCAAAATTACCCATTGAATGATTTGTCCTGGTTGTATGCAGATTTTGCAAACCGATGTTGGCCCTACATGCTTGCGGTGATCCAATTTCACACAATCCTCGTTTTATCTTGGATTACCTGTTGAGTGATAAAAACCGCTACGTCAGAGAGAGAGTGCAGCAGTACTCCTAATAAAACAGACTTGCGCGGTGCTCTCACGGTCCCTCCTACCACGCCTAACCCTTTTTCTCAT